TAATGATTGCTGGTAGTTTGTCACGGGAAAATAGACCGGAAATTCGAGGGATGTTTTGAAAATGACCCAGATTGTGAATACAAAAAAATTTCTTATATGAATAATGCAAAACACAGAAATTATGCAAATAATAAAAAAAAGCGTAAAAAATACACAGCAAAAGTATTTCTTCTTTTTTTTTGTCGTATGCCTGAGTATTTCTTTTGATCTCAGGTAATATTTTTATTTAAATGAGCAGAATTTTGGTATTAGTTTTGCATTGCCAGATTACTTTCATTTATGCTATGTTGTTCATCACTTAATACATTTTTATACTTTGAAAACGATACGTCCATGCTGTTTGTAAGCACCGACGAACATCTAATTGCCACTTAGATGATTTTTGGATCGAGTTCGGTCTTTGATTCCCAAAACTGGATCAATTTCTTTCCAGCAACGCAAAATTCCTTGACAGTTGCTTTGTAAGAACTGCATTCACTTATCAATTCTTCGTCATCCTCAAACATTTGCATTATATTCAGAAATCGAAGGATAGTCTTCTTCATTCAAAACGTTGAAATATTTAATGAAATCACAACAAGCCCAGGAAAATTTGTCTGGATACATACAGGGGCAGTAGAAATTTCATTGCCCAGTGCAATAGCGATTTTTTTTCTTTTTTTTGTCAAGGATTTGATTTATAATTTTTTTTTTCTTTTGTGATTCCCATTGCTTTTGTATTCTTACTGACTTCAGGAAGGTAATCCTAATCTTCTATCCCCCTCCCTAAGTATAGGAAGACCACCTTAATTGACAAGATAGGGTTTATCTCTTATATCTGAAATATTTTCTTGTCATTTTTCTATTGATTCACTTCCCTAAATGTCTAATCAATTTTACATGCTTAATTTGAGGCTTCAGCAGAGTAAAAAAATTCTGTTAAATAAAAATGAAAAACATTCTAATTTCACGCAATTTTAGCGCAAATAGAAACATGTTGAGAATTTCGTGGATATTAGGAAGAAAGAGGACAATTTGTCGGAAATTCGCTACGCGACAGAACTTCAACTCTGAAATCACAACGTTCAAAATTATTTAAAATTGATGCTTGAATATAATTAGTAAGTGTCATGCAATTGCAGTGTCAATAAAACTCTACTACTAAAATCAACTGTAGTTGCCGTTGTATAACTGTAAAATAAATAAAACCTGGAAGGAATTTATATATATATACTTTAAAGTTTGTGAAAATTGCGTCACTTGTGAAAAAGAGACTAAGGAGTCATATTTGAGCATATCAGGATAATTATTTATTTTTTTTTACATTTTTTATTTCGTTTTTTAAAGAAAAATGAATATAAGGGGATTTCATAAGTCTTAGCATAAACATTACTTATACCAATCTTTCAACTTCACCAAGAAAAAAGAAAGAAATGATAAAAAAAAACTTCACCATTAGATGCTTACGCAATATCTGAACGGCCCCTATCTCATTTTTATCACGATATTAAATTTTGACCACTTTCTGACATAAACAAAGTAACAGACAAAACTAGAAAAAAAATTACCACATAAAAAATATTAATTAATATAACGAGTTATGACTTAGGAAATGCCATATTTGGAACCTAAAACGGTATTTGTCAACCTTAATAACTTACAAAATAAGATGTAGCATTAATATTTTTATTTATTTATTTTCTCAAAAGAAAAAAAAATCGGAAGAAATTCATCTTGTTTTTCTTCATAAAATTTAAGATAAAAGTTGAATTGAGCAAGGAATATTTAATACAGCAGGCCTGGCAGGCGTTGAACACGTGTTCGTGAGAACGGGAGTTCAAATCCANCAGAGAAGTCTATTTGACCAGGTAATCCAAAATATTGCTAGATGACTTCCTATTGTTTGGCAGTAAGCTATTGTTACCAATCAATCTAAAGAAAAACTTTCAAATTCTTATTTTTAATGAATATATATGAAATGTTCCTTCACTGGGTAGTGTTCCTTCACTGGTTGGTTTACCCTATATCAAAATACTTTACAGCAGATCAGGATTAATAAATTACTACCATAAGATATTTTGTAACTAATTATATTCTTTTCATCAATTATATTTATTATATCCATTTATTATATTTATTAAATAATAATCTTCGCACTTAAAAAGATGACAAGAAAATAAAATAATAATAAGCCACACTTTCAAATTGTACGTTATCAAGTGGAAGTTGTATAAATTTGAAAAGTATTTATCCAAAAAATTATGCTAATGGACTGTTTGATGTGAAAACATCGATTTTCGACAACTGTGGCTTATCATTATATTGCACCAACCATTATATTTTAGTAATTTTTAATTACATTTTTTTCCTGTTACAGATTGGCTAAATCAATTATAGTGGACATTGACTATGAATGCAACTCCACAACATTCCGCGCACTGCAAACTCTGCGTTTGTTTTTTCTAGCAAAGTCTGACATGGATCCAACTATAGGACCCTACGCAGTGAAGTTATTATGGAATAGTATAACAGAACCATTCCTGTGTCAGGAAGAGTTCAAAAAGAGTGTCAAAGCAATTGAAACATCTGATCGATTAACTTACGCATGGGATTGGTATGTAAACCATGTGCTGGAAAACGTCATCTCACCCAGAGGACCAAGGTCTCTGGCCCATCTTTCAAGGTGTTCCGTTCGAGGGCAGCTGGCGACATGCCTTCAGCTTCCATGTGGTGTTGACCAGCTTAATGTTCCGAAGATTCTAAAAGATTATATTCTTTTGGAACATTGAATGCTTTTTACCTGTGTAGAGCTGAAAAAGCTGGATAATTTCGAAGAATAAATTTCATTCTAATAGGTAAATTGCAATTGTTAATTGTACATAGTTTCGACTCAACACCAAAGATGAACTTTCCCAATTTTTCCTAGGAAATTATTAAAACTCAACACTAGATTTTTGCTATACAAACAATTAAATTTTCCTTTTGTAGAAGGTATGTTAGCTATAACATTTTGTAGGAAATTAATTATCAAAACACGAATGTTTTATTTGTAGGTTTTATAATATAGAGCATCGCTTCTATATAAAGTAATTTTTGTGATTTTTTGCACACGAGCAGGGAAGTATTATACACTTAAATATATATAAAATATTATTCTATTAGTAAAATAATAGAATCACATCAGACAAAAGAACCTAAAGTTGCGATGGTGTGTAGAAAACGTAATAATAATAAGATTCGATTCCTCTTAGGTCGAGAATATTAACAGTAAAACTTTCAACAGGGACTGCAACCAAATTGTCCACAAAAAATAAGTACCTTTTAAGCACTTAAAAAATATTTTTTTAAAAATTTTTCTAATTAAAAAAAGTCACATTTTTTTTCTTCTCTGTGTTGAAACTTTATTATACAATTATATGTATAAAATTATCAAAATAGAAAAACACTTTGAAAGATTTTATAAAATCATTTGAAAATAATAAGTTTCAGACAAGGAACTCAATTCTTGATTTTATTAGCCACCATAAAACATTTTATGCACAATTTTAAACATATTCAATACTGAATTCCTCATTATTTTTTTTAAACTACTAATTATTTTATTCAATTGTATGAAAAATTAATTTAATATCAAAATTGCAATGAGTTAAAATTTAAATAAAAATTCATAACTGTACACTCATCAAAATCATTTACCAGATGAGTATTTGTAATTTTGTTCAGTATTTCTTTGATGAAATATTTAAAGAATTTATTCAATAAATGTGAACTAAAAAACACAATGAAAAAATTTTTTGGTGTAAATTATTAATATATGGTCCTTTTATTCATTATATATAACAAATTTGAGATTATTACTTTTTTTTTGCAATACCCACCGGTGTTAACATCCATCAATTCAGGCATATACAGGGCGGTTTTGTTTGCCTCTCTTTCAGGGGCACCATCTTAGATGGGACAACGTCGCTCCCACAGTGAGGACAGATAGTACACAGAAGGAAAGAACATCGGTGCCTTGCCCGAGATTCAACCCAGAACCTTTCTGATGCACCGACAGTTCCCTGCCCCCTACACAGGCCGGTCGGCTATTTGAGATTATCAAATATTTAATTTTAATTTTTTTTAAGTCAAATGATAAAGAGATAAATTAAAACCACATAAGATTTCTTGAGGCATTTGCTGAATATTAAAATAGTGAAAAGCCTTTCAGTTTATACTTTTTTAAAAATCTTCCCTCTAAAAATATATTTATAAAGAATACCGGATGTCAACTTGACAGTTCTTTGCCTTCAAGTCAAGCTACAATTTTTGGATTTTCATCATTAAAAATATTTTCGTTCATTGTTACTTTCAGTAACGGAGAATACCGAATGCCATCTTGACAATTCTTAGCCTTCCTCTCGAACAATGTTTTCTGGATTTTCATCATTAAAAATATTTTCGTTCATTGTTACTTTCAGGAACGGAGAATGCCGAATGCCGTCTTGACAATTCTTAGCCTTCCTCTCGAACAATGTTTTCTGGATTTTCATCATTAAAAATATTCTCGTTCATTGTTACTTTCAGGAACTGAGAATACCGAATGCCATCTTGACAATTCTTTCCCTACCTCTCGAACGACACTTTCTGGAACTTGATCATTAAGAAAATTTTCTTTTGTTGTTACTGTCACAAGCGAAGAATAGCAGATACCATCTTGAAATTTATTTGCCTTCCTCTGGAACTACACTTTCTGGAACTTCATCATTAAAAATATTTTCGTTGTGGTTACTGCCGGGGATTAGAAAACCGGATGCCAACTTGACATTTCCTTGCCTTCTTCTCAAACTACACTTTCTGGAACTTCATTCAAGTCATTTTCGTTGTTGTTACTGTCAGGAACGGAGCGTTCCGGATGAATATTTTTTTACGAAAAAAAATTGCATGATAGAAAGTAAACTTTTCTGAAAACTTACTCATACCTTAACAGTATGCTGACAGGATTAATTGCTTCGTATATAATTTTTAATGAATCTGTTCCTTATTGTCTGTAGCCTTAAATACACTTGCTTCACCTTTCTTAATAAAAATTTTTTTTATGTGTATTGCATCACAAAAGAGCCAAAAATTTGAACAAACGCGGGAGATGTTGTTCGTAAGCAACGGAGTTCCTGTGCAACTAAGGAACGCACCTTCGATCGAAATAAAATAAGGGTTAAGACAAAGCTAATAATGTTGATCGAAAATAATTTGATAAAAAGAGAATAGAATTTTGGGTAATTGGAAATCTAACTGGTATGAATATCATGCATCACCAAGACGTCAGAGTCCGCATTCAGTATTATGCAACTCCAAACGGAGGGAAGGAAGGATCACAATTTTTAACAATTTATTGAATAAACAAACGAGGGAAGTTTCAGAAATAGGAGTAATACAGTGGATGTGATAGCAATAACATATTGCATGATGGTTTAAACTTTACAGCAACAGGTGCAGTATCATAGGATTTGATATGATTAACAAAGTGATGTAAGAATGTTGTAAAAAAATAAGGGTAGTAAAAAATATAGTAGGGAATAACGCTTACATAACAGCAGTATGGTTGGGTATAATAGAAATAAAACAATATGAATTAATAATAACGTAATAAAACAATATGAATTAATAATAACGTAATAAAACAATATGAATTAATAATAACGTAATAAAACAATATGAATTAGTAAAGATAAAAATAAGAATATGGCAAGTAGCAAATAGAAAAATAATAAGACAATACATCAATAGGATTGGAAAGTTTTAAATGGAATATTAAAATGGACAGTACATTCATTGAACTCTTGAAGAAAAGGTAGTATTTGGAATACAAAATCTCTATATTATAAACATGAGATACTAAGTAAGTTTTGAGGAGGTTTCAAAACCACTCACGATAAAGTGGCCTCAGCATACCACTGAATTCATATTTTGTTGTAAGTTTTGACTGTATTTCATTAGTTCTGACCCAGTTTTATTTCTGAGAATAAACTTAAAACCAAACCAACAGCGCTAACTTTATAATTACAAAATATGTTTTTTCGTAGTACCATTGATTATTATTTTTTTTTGTCTTGAAATGTTAAATGAACCCTATGTTAAATATTGTATTGGGACGAGTATTGGGAGAAAGGACTCGTGAAGGACTTTTTGATGGAACTTACTTTTCTGTCAAGAAAAGAAAAAGTCAATCTTCTCTTATAGAAGGGGGAATGATATACTTTTGTGGCGGTGGGATGATTTGCGTAGTATTAAAGAATACAAAAGGAAAAATGTGCCAATATATTACCTGGGTTAATGAAGGTCATTTCCCCAGTAAAACATGGCAAGATGCAACGATTAAGACCAGCTATGGAGCTCCATCTTCGAATTTAACTGTTGGTTTAGCTGAATCAAAAGGAAGAAGGTTGATCATTACTCACATTGGGAGCAAAGAAGGATTTGTTTCAGGTGACGCAGATGTATTTATAGGGGGAAAAAAAGTGGAGAAGAAATGGACAGTAACCATTTTTAAAATTGGTTAAAAAAAAAAAGTGATACCTAAATTAAGACCGAAAAGTGATATTGTTGTGGATAATGCTTCCTACCACTCCATCAAAGTGTAGAAAACTCCCACTAATTGTTGGAAATAAAAGCTCAATACAAGAATGGCTATGCAGCAAAAATATTGAATGGGATATCGATATGCTTAAAGTAGAGCTTCTGCAAAAGGATGCAGAAAACAAACACCTGTTTGACAGATATCGAGTTGAAGATATTGCCGAAAAATACGGACATACAGTTTTAAGACTACCTCCATATAACTGTGAACTGAATCCGATTCAATTCATATGGAGTCAGATAAAACCGCCTGATGTTCTTCTTGAAAATAAAACTTTCAAATTAAACAAGCCTCTCCTCCTTCCCTTGACGGAAAGGAGGAGAGATGAGTTAACTAGCTCTTCCCCTGAGGGGAAGGAGGAGGTGATGATTATAGAAGAAGCTTTCTTCTATTTATAGGAGATACGGACTACTCCTTAAAGGCCTGTTTACACCTTAGAGGAGTAATTTAGGTAGAGAGAACCAGTCCCCCATCCCTCGTTGCAAAGAACATCGTCACGTGATTCCTGGACGATTTTCCCTCCAGTAAACCCTCTCCCCATTCTTTTCCTATGGAGGTGAATTGATGAGCTGTGTTTTTAACTATAAAATTTAAAAAAAATGGTGGTATACTGCTGTGCATTTGGATGCAACGAAAAATTCATTAAAGGAGGACCTTTTACATTTCACAAGNTGTTTGAGGTGACGCAGATGTATTTATAGGGGAAAAAAGTGGAGAAGAAATGGACGGTAACCATTCTTAAAATTGGTTAAAAAAAGTGATACCTAAATTAAGACCGAAAAGTGATATTGTTGTGGATAATGATGAACTACTCCGTCAAAGTGGAGAAAACTCCCACTAATTCTTGGAAATAAAAGCTCAATCCAAGAATGGCTATCCAGCAAAAATATTGAATGGGATATCGATATGCCTAAAGTAGAGCTTCTGCAAAAGGATGCAGAAAACAAACACCTGTTTGACAGATATCGAGTTGAAGATATTGCCGAAAAATACGGACATGGAGTTTTAAGGCTACCTCCATATCACTGAATCCGATTGAATTGATATGGAGTCAGATAAAAGCGTGTGATGTTGAGCGTGAAAATAAGACCTTCAAATTAAATTGTGTAAAATGCTCATGCAAGTGTTGCTCATGGCTTGTATGTTATACAAGCCATGAACAACGTAACTACTCAAAATTGGGTACACTGTGTAAATCATGTAAATTCAGTGGAGGACGAAATGTTGCGAATAGATGGGCCTTTGGAAAACGTTTGGGAAAACCAAATCTTAATAATTTCGTTGAATGGTGATTCTAGTGACGTTGAAACAAGTGTTGAAGAAATGTAATGAATTGTTTTAAAAAAGTTCACATTATATGCAAAATAAGTTTATTATCAATTATTTTAGAAGTAAGTAGATCTTAGCTTAAATGAAAGTTCTCAAAATTCTTTGATAATATTTTTGCATTGAACTGTATTAAATACTCCAAAAATGCCATACTACTAAAATTTTCTTTATGATGATTCATAAATGAAGAAAAAATAACAAATTTAATTGGGTATAGTAAAATTGTATTTGATTATTTAATTTTCTAAATATTAACCTCATATGTACAATATTTAATAAATTTTTTCCCCTTCAGAATGAGTGAAAAAAATCCAAATAAACAAGTGAATATTATTAAATTGATGACAGTTGAGCAAATTTGCTGCGTGGCTGATTCAACTGGTGTGGCTATTTATTATTATCATTATAAGTATTTAATTTTGATTTCGAGAAATAAAAAGGAAATAATTCTTTTTTTGAACATCAATAAATTTTTTTAATATGAAACTACAAGTAGCTGTGGAGAGCTATCAATGTTTCAAACAACTGGTAGACAGTATGTTCTTATATGGTATTTCGCAATATTTTTTTTTTAAAAAAGTTTACACGGTCCAACTTCTTGAATCCGAGAAATCGTCTAAACAGGCCTTACTACTTCCTTCTCTCCTTTCTACACACTATAGTCCCTGCCTCTCCTCCATGCACAGATCGATCTGCGTTATGCAAGCCATGAGCAACGTTACTACTCAAAATTGGGTAAACTGTGTAAATCATGTAAATTCAGTGGAAGACGAAATGTTGCGAATAGCTGAGCCTTTGGAACACGTTTGGGAAAACTAAATCTTTATAATTTCGTTGAACGGTGATTCTAGCGACTTTCAAACAAGAGTTGAAGAAATGTAATGAATTCTTTTAAAAAATTTCACATTATATGCAAAATAAGCTTATTTTCAATTATTTTAGAAGTAAGTAGATCTTTGTTTAAATGAAAATTCTCAAAATTCATTGATAATATTTTTGCATTGAATTGTATTAAATACTCCAAAACAGCCATACTACTAAAATTTTCTTTACAATGATTCCATAAATGAAAAAAAAAATATCAAATTTAATTGGGTATAGTAAAATTGTATTTGATTTCTTAATTTTCTAAATATAAACCTCATATGTACAATATTTACTAAATTTATTTTCCCTTCAGAATGAGCGAAAAAAATCCAAATAAACAAGTGAATATTACTAAATTGATGACAGTTGAGCATATTTGCTGCGTGGCTGATTCAATTTGGGATTTTATTATTCTTTTTTTTAAAGACAAAAGTGAAAATTGTTTTCGCTTTATTCAATCTCTGTAAAGATTCAAACTTTGTGATTTCTGCGCCACGTGTAGCTCTAAAGTACCATTCGCTTTTTATAAGAACTTCAATGATGTGGCTGCGGAATTTTAAGATTTTTATTTTTGTTCAATTAAAAGGACTTTTAAATATCATTTGAAACACAAATTCCATAATATAATTGTGCAAATACGTTAGTTATAAACTAATTTAAACCAGTCAATATTTTAATACCCACAAAGAGTTTACAGAAGAAACTGCTAAACTGTCTTAATATTAAACTGTTAAAATATTAAATAAAAAACATGATAACCACCAGCATGGGTCAAGGAGATCGTGCTGAGTCTAAGAGGATGGGATATGGCAGCTGAAAACTTGGGAGGATGGGCTCCTCCCCTCATATGGCTAATAATCCCCCAAATTTATACCATTTGTGAGAATTACCTTTTTTAGGTAAGTTCTTTTGTCCCTTAGAAGCAAATATATTTCAGAAAAAAATTACTTTTATAGTGAAAAAAAAACTTCTGAAAAAATGCAAATTCTTTACTTATATTTTTAAAAAAATAACAGTAAATATTATAAAACATAAGTATGATCAATGATTTCCTGTCTGTGCCTATGTTAACTTTTCCTTCCCCCACAAAACACCAATGTGGGATAAATTGATGTACATTAATCTACAAAAAAAAAGTTTTGCTTTTAAAAAAAAAATTAGTGTAAGGGGATTTACAAATCTTAACATGAACATTACTTATACCATTCATCCAACTTTGCCATCAAAATTTAGCAAATAATAAAACTCATCCACCATAAGATGCTTACACAGTATTTGAACGGCCTTTCATTCCTTTTTCCATCGCGATTTGAAATTTTGACCACGTTCTGACATAACCAAAGTAACAGGCACAAAACTAAAAAAAAATTACTGGATCATAATTATAATAACGAGCTATAACTTTGAAAATAATATGTTTGGAACCTAACGCGGTAATTTTTAAATCTGGATAACTTATAAAATAGGATGTAGTATTAATATTTTTATTTTACTTTTCTTCCAAAAAAGAGCGGAAGAAATTTATCTTGTTTTTGTTCATAGATTTTAAGATTAAAGTTGAACTGAGCAAGATATATTTTATACAGCAGGCCAAGCAAGCGTTGAACTCGTTGTCGTGAGAAAGGGAGTTCAATTCCAACAGACCGATGAATCCCAATGGTGACTGGTGCACGCTAAATTCTGTTGGAGTCACTAAGTCCTCCAAGTTAACAAAACAAATCAATACATCTGGGGGTACTGATCCAGGAGTTCCCTAGCCTTCTGGATTGGGTTCGAAATTACAAAATTACGTAGTTGAACATCAATAGACGTAAACTCAAATTTGGGTCAGCTGGTCAGCGTCGGTTATAAATTAAAATACTTTACAGCAAATCAGGATTAATAAATAACTACTATAAGGTATTTTGTTAATTATATTCCTTTCATCAATTATATCTATTACATTCTTTAATTATATTTTTTATATTCATTAATTATATCTATTAATAATGATATTTGCTCTCAAAAAGCCGGAAAATAATAATAAGCCGGTTCCACCGACATTTCACCCAACGTCATTTGATCCAAACTGTCAAAATTGAAAAAAGGGTGGGGTCGAGCAGGTGTGGTAGTTAAAGATAAGAAAATAATTTTGTTCTTCAGCAATAGGGAAAACAGATGAGGGAAAAGAGTGTGTTGAAAATGATGTAGGGATTTTTAACTGCTTTGGAACACTAAAAAGTGTGATGTAAAAGAGTATCAATTAAGGAACTGTTTATTTATTTATTTTCTGTTTGACGTGCTTGATAACGTATTCAACGTAACAAAAGCGAAATAATTAGCAATATTATTTTACAGAAATTCATTCACAATTTTTATTTCTGA